TGAAATGTTCACTGCAATATAATAAAATGTAATTAATAAATAGATAATAGTTATACATAATCAATATACAATATACTAATATATATTTTTCATTATTTCAGCCTTGTATTAATTACATTGTTTGCAAAATATTTTTTTATAGTAATCATTAAATTTTGATAATATAACAATTTATTGACTTATAATTAACTTCCCGAAGGAGAAGTTTATGTTTTCATCAAAAAATCCGAATCGCTAATTTTATGTTTTCTCGACGTTTCAAGCCATTCTGAATCGAATGAGACCAAATTTGGAAGAAGTATGTGTGTGTGTGTATGTGTGTGTGTGTGTGTGAACAGATTTTTTGCCGTAAATCGACGTTTACTTCACGGCTGGACCGATTTCAAAAATTTAAAAGCCATTTGATGTATCTCGATGAGGACTATCGTCTCTGAGTTTTGTGCAGCGATCGGCCGGGCCGTTTCTTTGTAAATTGCAGAAAAGTGAAAAATTTTCCGCCCACGTTTTAGCCCGCAATTCTGAATCGATTCTGAAAATTCAAAAACCATTCGATAGATATTGGTTGGGAATAGTGCTGATTAGTTTTTGGTAAAGATCGGCCGGGCCATTTTCTTGTAATAACGTTTTTAAAAAAAAAATTTTCGACGATTTTTATGATTTTTTTTTTTTGACGGTAGATTCCACAGTCTTCTATATCATACTAAAATATTATGGCCCTACGACAACTGGTTCAGCTTTAAAAATTCGTCAAAGTTTGCAAAAATTGGTATCGTTTTTTTGACATTTGTCAAAAATTAGACTTTTGATCGATGTTTTCTCAAAAGCACCTGAACCGATCTCTGAAACTTAAAAGCCATTTGATGTATTTCGGTGATGAGGACTATCGTTTGTCAGTTTTGTGCGACGATCTGCCAAGCCGTTTCTTTATAATTTGAAAAAAAGTGTTAAATTTTCGTCGACATTTAAGCTCATCCTACCGAACCGATTTTAAAATATCAAAAAATGTTCGAAAGATATTAGTTTTGAATGATACTGATTAATTTTAGGTGAAAATCTACCGTTTTCTTGTAATTAACTGTTGAAAAAATATTTAAGCCGATTTTTATGGAATTTTTTTTAGCGATATATATCATGGTCTTACAGAACTTACTGAAATATTACGGCCTTACGACAAATAGTTTGATTTTAAAAATTCATCAAAGTTTGAGAAAATGACTGTTTACTTGGTATAATGTAGAGTACTTGGTCTTGAACATAATAAACCATTAAAGTCCTGAAAACTGGTTCAATTATATAAAATTTGCTTTTAGAAAATAATCCGAGACAAAGTGTTCGTTCGTTTTCAATTATGTGTAATAAATCCACTCGGAATACTTTTAATGACTCATAAATTAATTTATTTTTTATTGATTAAGTCGATTATTTAAATATATCGAGAAGTTCATGTAACTTGCCTCAAGGCTAAATACCAAACCAACTAGTTTCTTTTTTTGCTAAACTTAACAATTTTGCAACTATTCATGGTACTCCGAATTGTATTTTTATAACAATAAGGTTATGATACTTACTTTATTCTTCTAACCACAGCTATCCACTTTTCCCTTTGATTTTCTTTCCACTTATTGTAAAAATGTATAGAATTTGCAGTCATCTCTACAACCCACTACACAACAGCTTTGGTGGCTCATTTTTATTTATCTTATTTAAATTTGAAACTAGTGGTGTACATGGCATTGTGCCTTAAGGCAAATTGCTGGAACTTCTCGTACTGTAACAAAATGTTTGAGGAATATTAAATGTTTTCAAATAGATTATTATAAATCAATACTGTAACATTGTCTAATATTTATAAGAAATATTTTATGTATTTTTATTTAAAATTTCGATTATAATAGCCTTATTTAATTGTACAGATGAGATTCCTTTTATGATCATTAAACAACGCAAATAATAATATTTCTTGTAATATCAAAATGCAATTTGAGCTACTCACAAACTTTTCATGGGACATAGCAAAACCTAAACTACCCTTTGTACTAGCTAGAATTTTATCATTAAGCATGAATTCCCTTCTATTTAATATTTTAGTATTTTCTCTTAGCCGATTTAATATATATTTATGAGCAATATTGTTCAATATCATTGAGGGATCAACAAATATTTCAGCAGCTTTCAGATTTGCTTGTAATTTCTTTCTTAATGTTTTTTCTTGCATGTTCGTCTCATATCAATACTTGTGTTCAGTAAACCCTTTAAACATTTTATAACTACTTCCGAGAGACAAACTGCTGAAAAAATCAATGTTAAATTATTTATTATAAACGCTTTATTATTAGTACAAGAATAATTATTAAAAACTTGCCTTTCAGTGAGTTTTTTTTTTTTTTTATTATTATTTTATTGGCTTTATAAACTGGTACATTAGCCATATACTAAATTACATAATATCTACACTATCTCTTACATATATATCATTGTTTTATGTATATTGCATTTATAATTTTATATTATTACATTTGATGTAAATATAAAGAGCTCCATATAATCTTGTATCTGTCATCACTATTATAAAATTAATTGGAAGGGAGATTTTTTGTTTAATTATTTCCTCCCATAGTTTTAGTGAGTTGGTTAGTCTGGCGACATTTCATCTTTTAATATTTATAATCTTAAAATTCCTAGCATTCTTAAATGTCTCAGTTAATAAGCTATAATAAAACTTATATCAGGATAGTACTGATAGATGCAAGTATTTTGATGTATGTATTATTGTGTAACAATGCATTTCGTGCGGGTTAATAAATAATCAAAGTACAAGGACAGCGCACGAATGCGGAAGTACACATATGTCACGTCCTATATTGAATAAATAGACTAGTTATCGTCCAGCAAAGACAGTGATGTCTTAGTCAAAAGTCTAGCCATAATGTCTCAGAGTATGTCTTAACACGAATCTATGCTAGTTTGTGATGTGAAGTTATTAAAGATTAAATAAAATTATAGTCAAAATTAGATTCAGTGTTTATATTCTACTTTGCGTAAAGACTCTTTCAGCCTATACCAATATAAAGTGCTCACGGTTCTGAGGAAACTCATACCAGTGTTGTTATTTATTATAACTATAAGCTCTGCCCACGACACCAGGAAAAGGTTGGACGGATCTAGCACCCCATTGGAGAGTGGATCAATCTACATTTGGAACCCAACCCAATCCAATCAACACCCCACAACACAACATCTCATATCTTTTCAGTATATTGATAAAAATACTTATTGTTGAAGGCCCGTAAAGATTATTAATCATTTTACATACTACATCGATTCTTGTAGGAAATATATAACTATTGCATTTTTTAGGTATTTTTGCATTGTAAAAGTTTGCAATTCCATATATTAATTATTTTATATGTTTATTTAACAAGCGTTTATTATATCGTCGAGTTTTGACACAAATCATTGACAAGAAATTAAGTTCAATACAGACATTTCAGATACAAACATTTGTACGGAGATTACCGCCTAGACAATATAATAATAATGGATTACCGCATTACCGGCCATGCTCCAACCCACTCCAACCATAGACCTTATACAATTTCATGGACTGCTAGTCCCCATACATTTCTCAAGTAAAAAAGTGTCAAAAGATGTTCTATGGTATGAGGGCATACGAGGGTAATTTTGCGGCCGAGATATGTCAAACTCGATCGCCCCTCGATCGCTTAAACGTCAAATGAAAGTCCGTGTGTTCGAAATTGTTGGCAGAATATTATATAATATACAATTTATGTTGAACTAATGAACGTAATGAACTATTTATTTATTAATTTATTTATTTTAGTTATACAAAGTGTTTAAGGGAAATTAGAAACAAAAAATTAAAACAATATTTTACATATTATAAAATTAACTGAAAATAAGGACAGTTGGCTAGAGCTATTATGGGAAATTAGAAAGCAATAATGAAATATTTGTTTAAATGTAATATATTTATTATTGGTGTTTAAAAAGCACAATTTTCGTATGAAAGCGGAGTACATATTATCAACTTTGCTTTTCTTTCTTTCTTCATGGTGCATTCTAATTGTTAAGTAAATTTTGCGACAAAGTTGATAAGGTCATGATAATGCTGGACAAATTGCTGGAAATAACTTGATCTAAAAAAATGTGCAAGTCCCAAGTCATTCAACTTTCAGAGAATCATGCTTTCATATGAACTTTTGTACATTAAATTTAAAGAATTTTGAATTAGGCTTTCTATATATAACATAAATTAAACATTTCTTCGGAAGGATATGAAGATATCCTCGATTTATTATATCGATCAATGTCGAATTTCCCGGAATACTTGCGAAGCATACAGAACAGTACAAAACAGGTTTTACTGCAATCAGGCACCTTACCTAACACATTTTAGAAGACATTTTACTTTTAACAATTTTACAACAGGTATATTTTTATCCTCTTTTAGTTTAAAAACCCGAACGATCAAACATCACGTGAACCCAAGTAACTGTAAAATTTAAGCGATCGAGTGCATTCGACTAATCTCGGTAAAGCTCGTGTTCGTATTTGACATATCTCGGCCGCAAAATTACCCTCGTACGCCCTCATACCATAGAACATCTTTTGACACTTTTTATGCGCTCAACTAGCAGTCCATGTATTGTATAAGGTCTATGACTCCAACCCATATTATTTATGCTTGTTTATCTAGGTATCTAATATTGTCTAAGCTCCAAACTCTTTTCTCTATGTTTAACAAGCCATGGTCAATTGGTCAATTGGTCATATCAACTCATTGGGTAGGACTGAAACACCGAAAAAGCGCGGGAATTGACTGACGAAGAGTAGTCAATTGCCGCCCTGAGCATTGTTCATTGGTCATTGCTAATGTTAAACGTTCTAGAACAAATCTTGGTTCTTTCTTAGCGAATGTGTAAACTTGGACATACATACTGGAAGTTATTGTTTAGATTGTGATTTTATTTTTTATAGTTATGGAAACAGACCGAGTTGTTCTCAGTCATCTAGAAATTCAGAATTTTAAATCGTATAAAGATTTAGTTAAAATTGTATTAGATGAAAAATATTCGGCGTTAGTAGGTTCAAATGGAACAGGTATGTAATTAATATTTCGAATTCAATTGATTCTTTACGACTGACCATTGTAGGGTCGAGTTCCAAAGTTAATGTTAATGGAATACTTTACTTCCCTTAAAACTCTAAATATTGTAAGGTTTCTGTTGAATGTTTCTACAGTAGACAGAAGCAACCTATATTTATATTTCATTGCAGCTAGTATTTGGATCGAGATTGATACTTACATACATATTTTTTACTAAAACAATAATTTATTTCATTGTCTTGAAAATGATTAACGTATTTTTCTACTTATAGGGAAATCGAACTTTTTGGACGCTATTTGCTTTGTAATGGGGCAAAATGTTACTCAATTACGTGGAAATAATTTAAAAGATTTGATATATGGAGCTATATGGAATGAGGAGATACCTTCCGGGTAAGTTATATTTGGTATATTCCAAATATAATATGCATTGTAATCTACAATTTTTCATTTAATTAATTTAAGATCTAATATATAATATTTTTGTTATATTGATATATATTATATTTTTGTTTTCGATATCAACCAAAAAGTTCAGTTGAAATATGATATGAATTTTTTCGAATTTCAAGTTTTAATGAAGAAACAGTCATAAAAATTTCATAGAATTATTATTGGTTTCGTTCCAACTATAACTTAATACTAATGCAATTAGGAAAACAGCTTTATTAATCCATACGTTTCAGTCTTCGAGACCATCATTTAGTGGAAAACTGAAAATTTCATTTGTAATTAATTTAGGAAAGAAAATTGATACATGATTAATGATGATACTTGATTGATACATGTATCAATTTCCTTTCTTAAATTAATTACAAAGAATCTTTACAATTTTCCACTGAATGATGGTCTCGATGAAGACGGAAACATATGTATTTATAAAGCTGTTTTCTTAATTGCTTTTTCTTACTTGGTCACTCGTTTTATATATATATATATATATATATATATATACACGTATATATATATA